GCCAGTGTAGGAGAAACGTGTTAATAATGGGCTAAACACAGAAGGTTGCCAGTGTAGGAGAAACGTGTTAATAATGAACTAAACACAGAAAGCTGTCAGTGTAGGAGAAACGTGTTAATAATGAGTCAAACACAGAAGGTTGCCAGTGTAGGAGAAACGTGTTAATAATGAGCTAAACACAGAAGGCTGTTATTGTAGGAGAAAATTATTAGTAGTGAGTTTAAGAAAGAAGATTGCCAGTGTGGGAGCAATTCAATTCTCTTATAAAGTATCAGAAACATTTATTGGAAAATGTTGTTCTCTTACAGAGTATTTACATAAAGTTTTGACATTCATAAATTCAGTAATAAAAGAACCACACCAATCTATTCTTTTAATACGAGTTGTTGATTGTTGACCATTGAGAACATTTTAAGTTGTCCTGTTTACGGGTAAGTTGTTGATTGTTGACCATAGAGAACATTTTAAATTGTCCTGTTTACGGGTGAGTATTTGATTGTTGACCATAGTGAACATTTTAAGTTGTCTTCTGTTCACGGGTTCGTTTCATTCGTACAGCGCATGCTCCTTAATACTTGAGAATCTTAAAAGTTATCAATTAGTATGTTCTTGTATGTGAGCTGTTAGCAACGTAGTGGTAGAACCAACATAGCCTAAAGATCATTTAGCACTTTTGTATTGATATACCACATTAGAGGTCGTGTAGGCAGGTATACCTGACAAAATACTAAAATATTCATACATGTTTAAATACACATCTCAACTGTACTTGATGGTATAGCTTACGTGTACGGTAGGACACAAGTTACCTGTTTTTTAGTGTACGGTAGGACAAAAGTTACATGTTTCTTAGTGTACGGTAGGGCACAAGTTGCCTGTTTCTTAGTGTACGGTAGGGCACAAGTTACCTGTTTCTTAGTGTGCGGTAGGGCACAAGTTGCCTGTTTCTTAGTGTGCGGTAGGGCACAAGTTGCCTGTTTCTTATGTACAGCAGGACACAAGTTGTCTGTTTTTTAGTGTATGGTAGGACACAAGTCGCCTGTTTCTTATGTACAGCAGGACACAAGTTGTCTGTTTTTTAGTGTATGGTAGGACACAAGTCGCCTGTTTTTTTAGTGTATGGTAGGACACAAGTCGCCTGTTTCTTA